GGGAACGCGAGATAAAAAATCAAAATGGCGGGCCCCCCCCCCCCCCTTAATGTAAAATACAACTATTGTCGATACAAAAAAGAATGGATTCGGATGTTTTTTGAATAACGTGTGACAGAAGAGTGGTAGATGCTTATGGTCTTTACTAATCGACAGCTAGGACCTAACTGCATCTTTTTACAATGAAAGTCATTTTCAAAATCTAGACCCTAGACTCTATACAGGGGTTATCGCCCACGCTGAGTCTCATGACAGTCTCTGTTTAACGACTTAAAAACGTCTTTACATATGAACTATCGGAATCTGTACTCAACCTAAGCTGTGATAATTACTGTACTACCTTAAAACTACTTCACTTTATTTCAAATTAGCATAATGTTACATAAACATGAATGAAGCGAAATTGCTATCCATCTGTGTCATATTTTGTCATGAAATAAGCACCAGGACTAATTTTACCCTTACGGATGTTACGACATCATCTCAAGCATACATGGCTGCATGTTCCTTTTAAAGTAATCTCCAAGTATTAGGGACATCTGTCGAATTTTTAGTCGAATTTCGGGCGAAAAATCCGACAGTGTCGAAAGTTGACCCTAGAAAAGTAGAACTGTCGAACGACGACAAATTCTGTGTTGAGTGATAGCGTACCAAATGTTTCCAAATTTGAACTTTTTTATGTATGTCAACACTTTTTATCAATACACAACAATAAGGCGCCGCTAATTCGAAATCGGAGTGAAATTTATTTTTCTTTTAAAGTTACATATTCTGAACCGCCTTGACGCGTTGAGTCTGAATCTGATAATATTTTTTCGATTTGAGCGTTTTTTCGCTGAGAAAACTGCCGAACATTGAGTGTTACTCGAAAGTAAAAAATTCTTCCAGGCACAAAAAGCATCGTCTATCTCGGTAATATGACAGCCTAGAATTTTTTTGACGTGATATTCTGGATCCCTGTGTAAAACATAGACATTGTATTTCGAGCTCGGTCAAATGTCACGTGATCGACAGAGGTAGCCGTTCGTCAAAAAAGAGATCCTTACTTTGCAAAATTAATAACTCAACAAGGGCAAACGGTAGCGACTTCATTCGTCCGCCATTCGATCCGCCGTCTCTTGCACAACAAAATGACGGCTCGTTTTTTTCGAAAAAGTTTTTTTTTACGGAGATAAGAAATTTGAATTATAGCATGTGCAAAATCGGCCAGATCATTTGAAAACTAAAAATTCATTTTTCATTCAAAATGCCTGTTGACAGGGTAGAAGAGGTTACAAATGATGGGGAATCTTATATTATTCTTTTCTTGTCTAAAAAAATAGAAATACGTTGCAAGTTAATAAAAAAGATACAAAACTACAGTTCCAAAAATACTGTTCTCAAAACTAGTTCCAAAAATACTGCTCTCAAAACTAAAGACCTTTCCAAAAACTTTTACCAATACTGTTCATTTACAAGTTAGCGTTCGTTATTTTTCTGTGGGAAATGATATCGTCTTTGCAGAGTCCACTGAAATACATTGTCAGGACTTCACAGTAACTTTTTCCATCAGCATAGGCTTTAATTGTCTTCCAAAAACGACGGAATAATTTTAAATGAATGTTTTTCTCAATGAAATTGGCTTTTGATTCAGGCATCAGACTAACTAGTTTCTGAAATGACTGATCAGTGCACTTTCGTACAAACTGTTTGTTGTGACACCAGTAATCTTCAATGGGATTCGTTTCACAGTGGCACTTGGACGAAAAAAGAATTTTTACTTCATATTCACTTGCAAGTTTTTCAAGCTTCGTGACCTAAAATTCCAAGGAAATAAGCGTGCGAACTCTCAGTAACAAAAACCTTTTTTCACTCACAGGTTTGACAGCTGGATGATTAGACAACAATGCCTTCAAATCTTTTACAAGGATCTTGTTTGGGAGGGAAATATTTAATTCTTGTGCAAGAGCAAGTAGACCTTTGCTAACTCCATTCTTATCTTTGAAGTGAAGCGTCCTCATTTGGTTTTGTTCGTCTAGAAAGTCAACTGTGTCAATACTGCATTTTGTGCCTGGCCTCATTCCCATTTCACTGAGGCTGAACTCTGTGGTGCGATCACGTTTCTATTAGATTTATATCATTATTGTGTCTGGTGGCACCATAGACCTCAATGCGATACAAAATGTAGTTTACTATCTAGTAAACATAAACGTTATATTCCTTATCACTTACTAGGTGATAATCGTACAATGTGTCTTGATGATAAACCTTGTCTTGATGGTTCCAATGTAGAAATTGCTGTTAGAGCATATTCTAATATTTCATTTCAAAGATTTTAAGCCGCAACAACGTTATTGTGACGTTCAACAAACGAATCCAAAACAAAATATTTATATTGGTTTTCATCGAACTACGCCGGAAGCAGCTGTGAGTATTGCCCATTCAGATTTTGCAATTAGTACCAAACATCAAAGTACAATGCTCGGTCATGGTGTATATTTTGCTCGATCAATGGAAGATACAGAAGGTAAAGCTAATGCTGATGGTGCTTACATATGCGCTGAAATTGAAACGGGTAGGGTTAAAGAAGTGGGTCCGGGAGCGAAAAAAGATTCCCTTCGAGGTACTACTTATTTATGGGAAGATTATGATACAGTCTATTATAATCATTCCAACGATAGTCGTGATGAATTTTGTGTTAAAAGTGCAAGTCAAATATTAAGACGGGTTATGATGGTCACTCAAGAATATGATGGAAAGGTTCGAAACTATAGATTAGACACAGAATTCGATGATACAATTTGCCAATGTATTTAGAATCAAACAAGCAAATAAATAGTGTTATAGCTATTCGTCTTAGTCTTTTTTGTCTCAGACAACTCATTTCAGAATTTTTCGTCGAAGAAAATTCGTCACATTACAGAAAATTTAGAGTGAACGTTCCCTCCATCTCTTAAACTCTGTGCTTTACACAGGCAATAACTAAAAATAGCAAAAATCTATCATCAAAAGTACTATGTGGCTAAGGAAAACCGTCAAGACTACGATCGAATCAATCAGAGCAATCGTAGAATAATGTAAAGCGCTCCTCTGTGATGTTTGTATAAGAGAGAAAATATATAAAAGCTATCTTTTCTACTCCATTTTATTCATTTTTTCTATAGATTACTTTTTATTAATTCTTATATATCCCACATCAAAGAACACATCAACTGTGCTAATTAATCATACGTAGTATATATATTCTATTTGGTCTTATCACTTGCTAATATGTAAAAGTTGTTTTGGGAGTCTTAGATATTAGGAATGGTCGATCATGCTGTACATTAAGATCACCGTGATTTTTACTCGAGGATCTTGCTGAGATTTCATCTTTCCTACACTACAATACAACATATCAAAATTTAATGTTCTTTTCTAGAGAAGCGGATCTCGAGACGTCTACATATTCGGAGAAAAAGATCCCTTCTAGTTTTTGAGATATGTAGCTCTCAATATTGGTGATTAACGTTTAATAAATCATACTTTCTTCTTTGATGTTCAGCAGCTAGATAAACTGTTCTTTTTGACTACCATGACTTTCCGGATTTCTCTTCGGGTCATGATAATCAGTCATAATATATGTTCAAACTTTAGTTATTCAGTGAATATACACATTAATTTTATGTAGAAAATGAAATAAAGTCAAAATCTCTGTACGAGGGCAACGACTTTCGAGTCAAAAATATGATAATATTTGCAGCTGTTTTGAACTTCATACCTTTATTTGTTGATATTTCGACCTTTAACCGGTCATTTTCAAAAACATAAACAGGATAACTGTACAAATGATGAAAACAACTACCATCT